GGAATCTACATTAGATGAAAAGGAAAAGGAAGAGATTTTTATTCGTTATATAGATCAATGATCTAATACACGATAGCTGTTTCGAAATAAAGAAATTGACATATTTCATGAGAATTTCTCGACCTTCGTGCCGCACGCAAAAGATATTCACCCAAAATGTCCCGAGATTTATTTCTGTTCAGCAGCTTCATACTATTCGGATTTTTATGGATCTGTCATCTCTTTCGAGCCTTCCTTATCAGCGAATCGATGGACGAGGACGAAAACATTAGGGAATCGGCTAATCAACGTGATAGGATTTGGTAAACGAACCATGACCCGAAAACGGTCACTGACACATTAATTCTCGTCTGCGTGCGTTAACGAGCACCGACGCCCACCGACATCCGCCCGCCATCTTTCAGAAAAATGGAAGACGCGGATCAGCCACAGTGATTTTCGGCATTGAGGCGCGACGACTACTTTGATGATTCTTCTCATCTTACTCAGTTTTAAATGACGTATTCGTTAAATGTCGTTAAATGTCTCATCGGGCTTAGAATGTACATGACAAGGAATAAGTCGGTTGTGACAATACTTTTAAGATGTACATTACATATGATAAATTGTTTGAAAAAAATGATATCGCACGTACTTTAGTAGTGAAAGGAAAGCTATTATTTAAAAAAATAATATGTAAATTAAAATTTGTGAAAGTATTATAAAGTATAAATTATAAAAATATTTCGAAACGTAAGAAAATGAAAGATGTAGATATGTTATTATATTATAATATCTGTAATTATATTATAATATCTAGGCTTATTTTCTTATACTTCTTATACTTGAATACTCGTCTTTATTTTGCCAAATGGAACTGTGATGTTTAATGTCGTATTTATATACGCGTATTAATTCATGAAAAGTTCTTAGAAAATAATTTTAAGAAATTTTAAGAAACCGAGATAAGAGAAGGGTCAAGGAACTGAATCCTATTCATTAATCGATTCGCAAAGAGATCGGTAAAACCAATGAAACGTACCTGGTTCTTCGTGATTGTTAGTGACATACGACAGACAGCAAAAAAATCGTAATTTAAATGGAAAGATGCAATTTTGCTTTAATGCGACGGCTCCGATGTAAAAGTTTTACGAGCTTCCACGACGCGTAGCCGGAGGTGGCAAACTCGACTTTCATTCACAGAACATTAACCAATTTCCGCGTAATTCTTGCGACTTTCATACTCCGACAAGCTTGTATCGCGCGCTTTAATAAACTTTAGGGAAGAAAAAAACCAAAGAAGAACTTTTCCTCGCAATTAAAGTAATTGCCTAGTGAAGTGCTTAGGACAGATTCTACGAGATGGCTGCAGAACGCAAATCTAGGTCGGTTGGTAACCGACATCGACCGAGGGGTTGAAACCACCCTTCCCGTTCACCACTCGGTTATCATCGACCAAAGGAGCGTGTTACCAACAAACTCGAGCTTATCGGCGGCTGAGAGCTCGAGGGATGGTCGGTACGGCAAAGGGAAGTTGATAAAACTCTGCTTCGGCCGAAGTTCATCAATTATACATTGATTGAAGATAATTCAGAAATAATCACTGAATTAACTGATCAAACATGAATAATGTTTAAATATGTTTTTTTCATGTTTATTCGTGTAATTATCAAATTTCATGTCAATATTAAATAACTCACTGAAAGCTTTTAGTAAATTTTATGCAGAGTAGAAATAAATTTGACTTTTTTAAGCAATAAAACTTTTTTTATTAAAATATTTTTCTTCTTGTATTTGTATTTGAAGTATGTAAGATGTATGATTTTCTATCCAATTCGCGAGTGTGTGAAGAAGAATAGGGTCAACATCTTATTGCGTTCAGGAAATTCCGCGGAATGAAACGGTAAATACGGGCGTTAATTGATTTCAATGGGCGGTAAAAGCTCGTAACAGGAGACGAAGAGCAACTAGCAGTGCGATCGACCGAAAACAGGAAACCAATAGAAACTGGCAAAAAACGTGTATCCAATTTCGATTGTCTGGATACGAGTTTCGATTGACTTTTGATAGGAATTGAAACGGGAAATAAAAATACCGCGCGTTCGTGACGGCCAATTAACGACTAAGCGAAACACATACATCTACAACTTTACGAGTTACAGATTACAAAGGCGGAAAATGACGATGGAAGCGTTAACATTTTACGCGACGCGTAATATATGCGGCTATCAAATGGCGGCGACGAGTATAAAATGCGGAAACATTTCTGAGAACGCTCAGGGAGATCCCGTAATAGATCCTGAAGAGTGATTTAATCCTATTTCCGTCCCTCTACGCGACGGCGAAACCGCGTGGAAGCGGAATAAAAAATTCCATTCGCGGTGACAGAATATTCAGGGAGGTGGCGAAAATGATTAAGTGAATCGTGCGCCACGTTCGCCCGCTGTCCCGGGTTTATGAAATCAAGTTAACTCGGGTCTGAGGGTCCTCGCTCTTATTTTTCCCCGTCCGACTGTCCTCCTTAACCGCGGGCTCCGCTCCTCTTTTTGTTGCAGGTTACTCCGCGGCGGCGCTCCTTGCGATCCTTTTCTGCATCCCTTTCGCGCTGAGAGTGCTTATCCACAAGGAGACCGGGGGATGGAGCAGCTGGCTCCAGGCCTTCTATCACGCTCACCTCGAACTCTTCCTCGGGAACGGCTGCCTGGGTACGACAAATTGCCATTGACGAGAATTCCGTTGCAAAATTCCGCCCGCGGATAGTTTAATCAACTCGTTTCTTCTGCCCCTCCCCTCTCTCTCTCTC